CCCCCCCCCAAGATTATACATGCTGGAGAGAGGGGCATGAGGTCTCTGTTTTATATCTAACTTCACGGCCCCAACCCTTCCATCTACCCACATACACCCAAAAGCATCGAGGCCACTGACATATATCAGGACAGATCAACTGATACAGGAGCTATGGATTTAAGAAAAACACGGGTTAGAATAAAGTGGATCTGTCGACCAATAGTAAAAACCGACAATAAATTTAGCTATAAAAAAGGAGGCATGTGTAGGCACCGCAGCTGGCTTGCTGCTAGCTCCCGGCCAGCCCTCACCATCTGGGCCTGGGGGCAGAGCCCGGCTCTCCAACCCTCTCCCTCACTCGGCTGAGGTGCTCTGTTGCCTCATAGGCTGTTTGTCCAGGGCCGTCCTGGTTCGAGCACTGAAAGCTCCCCGTCCTAGGTCCGCAGTCAGTCCCAAGTAAACTGGGACAGGCGGTCACTGCAGCAGGAGAGGGTGGGGGAGTGCTTCTGCTCTCCCCCACACAGTGTTTCTGCGGTTCTTCATGTGTACAGCCGTCTGTGGCGTGACAGGCTTTCATCACCCTTCCCAGAAATGGACGGGTTAGGAGGCCTGTGCTTTTGCCAGTTTTCTTCCATTCCTGCCTGTCCCCCTTTGGACACTAGGTGGCAGACTCTGCCCCTTGCTGAGGAAAGACTGGGACTGTCACTTAACAGGCCTTCTGGAAGGGCTAGCTGTCTGCGAAAACCCTGAGCCAGAGGATGGGAGAGGGAGAGAAGTGGAATATATATGTTTATGGGAAAGCCTGGAATAATCACATAGTGTGAGACGGCAAGGGGTAAGAGGCAGAAATCAGATTCCGCTTAAAATCCTTCAAGTATTTAGAATTTAGGGTGGGAAGAAAGGCGTGCTGTTTCCCTGCAGAGTGAGTCTACTTTCCCCATCTGACCCGAATGACATGTGCATTGTGAATAAATGGTACAAAGGAGGGAAAAGCTAACTGCAGTCAGAGAAGCCAAATGCCGGGAACAGCACGTCTCCTGGGGTGATTTAATCACGGTTCAGGTTCTCTGGGTGAGCGAGCGGTGCCTCCACTGAGGTGTGTTTAACCAGGGCCTGCTGACTGGCTGGACACAGGCTGACAAGCTCGGAGGAGAGGCCCCTCTGGAGGCTGGGTGACTCACGCCGCCCGCAGAGCGCGCAGTTGCCACGAGCCTGGCTCGGCCGCCTGGAGGAGCTAAATTTATATTCCGAACAAAGAACACTGTGGTTCTGGAGCTGTCAGGAGGGAGCAGGGAGGAGATGGGAAAGGAGAGTGGCACCACCTTGCGGTGGGCCCCAGTGCGTTTTAAATGAATTTACATTATAAGGGCTTTGTGCCTAAGCCCAAGGGATTTTTCCTGGAGAAAGTAGTATGTGATTAACTCTGGGTTTCTCTTTAAGTGTCTGCCCCCCTTAAATCTCAGTAAATACTAACATTGAATGTACAAAGCCCACAAATTGTACTACTGACTGCCCTCCTCTTTCAAAAACTTATTTGAATTAAAGATTAGCATTCTGCCCTGCACAGGCCATACTCATTAACCCAGAGAAAGGTGGAGCTGGATGGGCCCACAGTGGCCCAGTGGTCCAGGGGCTTTTCAAACTGTTGGAGAGTCCTAGCTATCCAGAGTTACCCTAGGGTTTCCTTAAACAGTGATGCATTTGGTGCCGCACGTAGAATAATTTTAAAATGTCTAAAGAAACTGTTACCACTTTTATCTTTATTATGGGCTCTGGGGAAAAAAATAGTTTGAAAAAAATTCCCTTATTAAAAATACAGGTTTGAAGACCAGGTCCATCAGTATTCTTCTCACTGACCCGACACCTAATCATAGTTCCTCCTTCATTGGTCTTTTTGGTTGCAATTGCCCGTTCGGGCGGCTATAACAAAGGGCTATAGACTGGATGGTTTACAACAAGCATTTATCTCTGAGTCCCTGAGGTCCTGCGCTCTTCCCCTGCTTCTGTAGCTTTCCCACTCACACTGTGAGCTGCCTACTCTAGCTTCCTTCCAACAAATCCATTTTCTTAAGATGATTTGATTTCTTAAGATGATGTGGGTCTCTACCACCACTTTCACAAAGAGGTCTTAATAATGCCTGCTACCCTCAACACGTGTCCTACTTTATTATTACTCAAGGTGTAGTGCAAAGATCAGTAGCCTCAGCCTCAAGTGGGAGACTGTGAGAATGCAAATTTCCAGGCACCATCCTGCATTTACTGAACCTGTGGGGGCGGGGCCCTGGAATCATATTTTAATGAGGTTTCCAGGATATCCTTATGCATGTTAAAGTTCCCAAAACTCACTCTACATTATAGCAGTGCCTCATTTTTTTTACCCTCCCTGATGTATTGGCTAGAGGACAAGGCAATGACACGAATTCTAAAGGTCACCTTCTGACTCTGCCTCGTCCCCTATATCACTCATGTGAGCTGCATCACCGGTGTGGGGTGCTGTTCACAGGGGAATAAGGACATGTGGATGCTGGGGACACTGTGTGGGCATCATCTCCCCACAGAGATTATGGATTTGAAATGGTTCATTCATAACCATTTCTTTATAGTATTTGCTGGGCCCTACCTAAGTGTTGGGAGTATATCTAGGTATTGATACCATTCCTGTCCCCAAGTAGTTAAAGCTTAGTTTTGGGAAAATGATATGAATAAAAGAACTTAATAATGCACTGTACGTAGCTTATGCAAAAGGCCAAGTGACAGATAGGGCCGCGCATCCTGGGTGCCCTATATAACCACCATTTCAAATATTTTGTTCCCTGGCTCCATACACTATCAAGATGTCCTCCAAAGTCCATTTTTCGAGCACTAAAGAACATTCCTAAGACTGTCTTTCACATCTGTCAAAAGTACCAAATTCTATATCCACATGTCCCAATTTTGGGTTCAGAAATATAGTCTCTATAGATAGATTTTTAATGAAAGGAAAGATAAATTATCATCTGGTGGTGAAGCCAAGAAAGGATTTGCAGAGGGTGGAAAATTAAGCTGGGACTAACAGGGCAGGCAGGGCTCGGATTCTGGGGGAGAGGGCTAAGGGCAGCCGGGGGTGGAAAGGAGCCATGTGACCTGAGATCAGCTGGGGAAGTGCTGGGAGAGCAGCCAGTGGCCTGTGGGACCGGACAGTAGAGAGAAGAGCAGATGGGTATTGTATTTGCCCATGAACGTCGTGCGGGACCACAGGAAACAGGAGAGCAGTGCTCTCGATGAAAATGAGCCCTGAGAAAGATTTTATTCTGACAGTGGCACCCAGTAGGAGTTAGGAGAGACTGTGAAGGACTTCTTTTAAAGCTTTGCTGTGCCCAGTGCCATGTCCATCCCATGGGGCGGCGGGGGGGGG